GGCTAAATGGTTGTAGATTGTGACTTAGTAAAGTGCGTAAATTTAAGAAACATAAATTTGAAATCTGCCATGTTGAAATTGTCATAGTCTTCCCTCTGCCCCTTAAAATTTACTTCTTAAAAAGCACTCACTCTTCTACTTACCAACCAAAAATCTGATTACAAATTGTGTTAGAAGATTTAAAAAGCAGTAGAAACATAGACCAAATATACAAAAGCTTAAATCCCTCATCTTCCAGGAAGACGTTGGTGTACCTGGAGTCTATACGGATATCATCCTTATTTGGATGATTCACAACATCCTTCTCTTATATCGTAGTTATATGTGTAAATGTTCTGCCTCCCAGTGGAGTTTCTTAAATATCCATACGGAATCTTTTACTTTTTTGATTCAACCCTCTTGAGAGCCAAATGCATGCTTAGGTACTAAGTACAGGAATTAACAAATGTGCAAACAGCCAGTCCCTTGTAAACAGTAGTCATTTAATAAATATTTGAAGGAATGTATTCACAGAGGAAAAAAATTGGTCACAGAAATGACAAAAGTTAAGAAAAGAAAGTAAAATAAACTCACAGCATAATCTGGAATTATAACTACACCAGTATATTACAGACCTAAGTTTCTTTCTCCAGGATTTAGCTTTCTCAAAAAATTTTGTCCAGAGACTTTTAATGTTAAAGGGAAAAAAGGCTGATTAGTTGGATTCCAACCTTTCCAAACATATACCATGTTGAACATGCCCCGGCCTTGAGATGTATGTAATTGCTGTTCTCTCTGCATGAACAGTATTCCCCAGATTATCATAGTATTTGCCCTTACATTTCCTCAGGTTTCTGCTCAAAGGTCATTTCTTCAGAAAGGTGTATTCTGCCTACTCTATTAAAAACAAAAAATAAAAGCACTCTCATCAATTTTTATCTACTTACCTTCTTTTTAATAGAAAACTGATATCTAACAATATCTAGTTCCCTATTTATTTGTGATTTAGTTCTTTTCCTGAATTTATGCTAACAGGAGCCCAGGAGCCTTATCTGTTTTATGCACTGTGCATCTCAACCTCTTAGAATACTGCCCAATACATAGTCTGTGCTCAGTAGATATGTACTGAATGATGAGTGAATGAATCAATGTACAAATTAACACAATGGTGACTTCTTCTATCATATTTAACTCTAGGACATAGATTTTAATGCATCCATTATGACCCCCATCTTTACATTCTTTATAATTTTAATTTTTTATTATATTTCTTCACTCTGTTCCATGTTTCCATGCTATATATGTTTTTGCTTTTGTTTTGTTTTATTTTTGCTATCCATAACTGCAAAAACAATAGCAACAGAAAACAATCTCTATATCTTATTGTCTTAAATTATTTTTTTCTGAAAATTCTCCTATATAACACTATCTTAAATTTGGGGAATATTTAATTCTCAAGATGCTGTACTATTGACATTTTTATGTTGCTGGCTAGTATTTTCTTATGACCTTGAGCAAGAGTCTTCCTGAACCCATATGTTAAAAAGAGAGGAAACTACTCTACCTTGCAGGTTTGTTGAAAGTATTTTTTGAGATAATGATTTCATGTAAATCCCCTAACCTGGTGGTTCTCATCTGCTATGCCATAATCATGTAGGAAATGCGGTCCTTCATTGCCAAGGATGATTGTCTAGTGAGGAAGGCAGTGATTGCCTGAGGACATGAGACTGAAAGGTAGATCTACAGATACCAGTTTTTTGCTTTTGTTTTTCCTACTTGCTGCTTAACTTTTGCAGCATTTACATTATTTCTAAGATAAGATTTGGAATCTGTGTGAATACTTGAATTAGAAATAATAACCTTACAACTGGGTTTCTTCCTTATCCTTTAAAGCTTTACACTTGTTACCTGGGCTTATCAATGGGTTTTTGACAAATTTCTCTATATTTGCTGTCCCTCGAATACCCATACTCTCCCCATGGGGGCTTTATGCGTACTGCTCCCTTTTCTTGGAATGTTCTTCTCAGATATCCACATGGCTTGTTCCTTCATGACCTTGTGGTCTATCATCATGTCACCTTAACAATGAGAAAACTTAGCCACCTCCATTCCCCATCCCAACACTTCCTCTCTCTTCCCTTCCCTTCTTTTTCTCCTTATCATTATAACCATTGGAAATATTACACATATAACTATGTTTTAGCTTAACTTTCACCCATCCACACAGCAGACAATAAGCTTCACGAGGTTAAAGACATTACTGCTGTGACACCAGCTTCTAGGACAGTGCTGGAAACCTAAGAGCTATTTAATAATAATTTGTTGAATGAATGAAAGCATGAAATAAATGCTAGTTAAGTACCAAGAATGGGAACTAAAACTGCCACAAACACAAAAGCCATCACTGCTCTCAGAGAGATTCCAATATGGTGGGAGGTTAGATATTGAACAATTACAAACATGATGGATCCACAGGCTTAATCCAAATACGCTAAGGGACAGTATGATATCTTCAATTCAGGCTATCTTCCCCTAGATGTCCAGGACTTGAAGTATTCACATGAAATGAAGGTACAGGTAGAGAGAAGTATGAGAGGAAGGTGGAAGAAATGTTGAAAAATTTTTGTTTGTCTCAGTCATGGTGGGAAAAACAAACAAAGATTCCTCCCCCATTTAAGGATGTAAGGGATATCGTTCATATGCAGGAAGGGAGAATATTTAAACTAATGAACAGATGAGCCTATTAGTAAAGAAATATAAGAGCTAGAAACCCATATTTCTCATGTATTAGCTCGGTGACCTCAGCAAAGTACTTGAACTCTCTCATGTATCAACGTATTAATTGGTAAAATGAAGATAAAGAACGCCCCTTATCATGCTTCTGAAATTATAACATGAGAACACTGAGGTAATATATTTAGCACAGTTCTTAAGCACACGTGAACTATTAGTGCTATTATTTAGTAAATTATTATTTTTATAGTTACCACCTGCTTTAAAAATAGATTTGAGAAAAGTAAAATGAAAGGACAAATTTAATGCTATTATAATCAAGATGAAAAATATGAGACAAGGAATGAAGGGTGATGAGGTAGATATTCCAGCTGGCTGTCCTATAACCATTTCCTCTTCCGTCTTTCTAATAGCATCTAGAATTGGTATGGGACAATGTGCCTGGCTCCATTTCCCAGGACCCCCTACAGGTAGGAGTGACTATTTAATTAAGTTCTAGCCAATGGAATAGAGGTGGAATTTCCTGGCTGAAACTTCTCAAAAAGCACTTTAAAAAAAATGGGGACTGACTCAGCTTAATTATGACTTTTACCTCTTATCCTTCTACTACCTTCTTCCTGGAATACAGGCAGGCCAGTTGGAGCTTTATCATCTATCTACTAACCATGGGGTGACTTCAAATATGGAAGCCCTGAACTAAGAATATCAGAGAGGAAAGATAGAAAGAGTCTAAGTCTCTGATGATATCAAGGAACTATGTCAGCCTAAACTGCCACCTCCTGATTCCTCTTTAAGGGGAGTTTGGCTACTTCTTGTTTAAACACTTCTTAAATCTCTGCTTCTTACAGCTGAACAGAATTTTAACTGACAGAGGTGAGATGATTATCCCAAATAATGAGAAAAGAGTCTAAGACAACCTCTTGCACTTATATATAACTAAACTGTTAACTTCCCAATAGCCACGGAGAAAAACAGTGAAAAGGGACCCATGAAAATTATAAAGCTCTTATGAACTAATACAAAAATGAAGTTCAAATCTAGGTACTGCTAAATGTATTCCAGTCATTAGAATTCAAAAGAACCATGTCATGCATTTTTATGTAGAAGAAACATATATCTTTATTTATATATTTGATACTTTTTTTGAAGATATAAATTGATCCTCATGTGTTTGCTTCTTATAGTGACCTTTGACAAAAATAAAAATGTTGAATGTTATAGTTGGACTGTGAGAACACTGCTATGGAAAAGGCAAACACACATTGTTTTCTAAATGGTTGACCTGATTTAGAAATAGAAATTAAAGAATGTAGAGGAAAGAAGAGTTGGCATAAAATCTTGCGTTCTTCCAAAATGAATCATTGCCGCCTAGCTGCACACGGAAGCTAAACAGAAATAATTTTGATGTTGATATTTTTGTAAAGTATCTGAAACACAAGTATGATTTTTTTTTTTTTTTTGCGGTACGCGGGCCTCTCACTGTTGTGGCCTCTCCCGTTGAGGAGCAACAGGCTCCGGACGCGCAGGCTCAGCGGCCATGGCTCACGGGCGCAGCCGCTCCGTGGCATGTGGGATCTTCCCGGACCGGGGCACGAACCCGTGTCCCCTGCATCGGCAGGCGGACTCTCAACCACTGCGCCACCAGGGAAGCCCCACAAGTATGATGTTAGTAAATAAAAGGTGACCCATTTACTTTCTAGTTTGGAAGTGAAGTGGCAACATTCAGTTACAAAATTAAAGTGCTTGCTCAGAAAGAGGGTTACCCACATATACCCCAAGGTGAACCCAGAGAATTACTGGAGTCAGGAACAAGACACTTAATAACCAGTAGTTTGGAGCTAACTCAAATGTTTTAATAAATACTTAAATGGAAGTCATAGAGATCAGCACCCTAGAGCATGGAGAAGACTAGCCTATATGCTTTCCAGAGTAGAAACCACCGTGTGCTCATCCTGACCACCAAAAATCATTTTTTTGGGGCTCATGTATACCAACTCAATTATCTATTATTGTCAGCTTAGAGAACTACTGGAGAATCAGTGCCCAGGTATGGAATACTAAAATAAGAAACAGGGGAATATCAACTGTGCATTGAAATGATGCTCTGCTAGTTAAGAAAGGGAGATTTTTGCAAGGGAAAGGTGTTCTCTGTTAAATATGGAAAGCAAGGGAATTCAGAATAGAAAAGCTGACAGAGACAGGGCAGCCTTAATTTACATGTCAGCTATAATATCTGCCTTATAAGACTATTTACTTGGTAACTCAATGACATTCCTTAAACTAGTTACCGTAGCAACTGTCGCATGACACATCAGGCTCCAAGACACAGAACATCTTCCTGCAAGAAACAAAAGCACCATCAATGTCTCAGAGGAGCATTACCATTTTGAGGAATGCCGGTGGTGTGAAGGAAAGGTGTTAGCACTGATTCACTGTGATTTTTTAAAATTTCTACATTCTGGTAGAGTGTCAACACTGCTTTCAATATTCTTTTCTCTCCCATTTATCACTTCACTGTCTTTTAAAAAAAATGTTAATTACCTAAATATTAACTTTCCGTTAAAGCTGCTAGAAAGCTTCCCACAAATCAATCCCAACCTACCTTAACAATTTGGTTTTCGAAAGAAATCCCTTCAAGAATTCTAGAGTTTAAAGTTTTTTTTGCATGATGACATGGATCATTGGTGTCACTGTGATGCTTTGTCAAAATTGTATATATTTTGGTTCCAACCCAGACCAATTAAGTTAGCATATTTGGGGTGAGATGTAGAAATTTGTATTTTTGGGAATTTAAACTAGTGGTGTGTTTTTTATGACTTTTATTTCCTTACCTCTGTTTCTTTACTATGCTTTTCCTCACCTTAAATACCCCTCCTTAACTCCAAACGTATAAATAGCACCAGCAACTCATGTCTTAGTTCAGCCGTCACTTTCTCAAAAAATAATTGTCCATTTCTCACCATCAAATTACAAATTCCACTACTTTGCTACTTCTCTAATTTTTTCAAATTCCTACTTTATGTTAAACAGTGTATTAGACACACACACACATATATATATATATATATATATATTACTGATCTTCTCTCTCTCTGCACTCCCATTGGACTTTGTATAGCTTTTTATTATAATTTCTTCCACTGCTTAGGCTTCTCTGAGGATAGAGATGATATCTATTCAATGTTTGTGTCCAAGTGTCTGAAACATATAGTTGTCAACAAATGTTTATTTCATTGGCCTAATGAAATTTTTATTAGGCCAAATTTCATTGGCTTAATAAAAATGAAATTTTATTTCATCCCTCTACCCTTTTCTCATACTTATTCCATTTCAACCACAATGACCTTCCTGCTATGCTTTCAACTCAGGGCCTTTGAACTGGCTATTCCTTCTACCTGGACTCTCTCCTCCCAGGAAGACACAGGGCTCCCTTTCTCACTTGCCTCAAATGTCACCCTCTTACTGAGACCTGCCCTAGCCATTCTACTGAAAACTGTACATATTCCATCCTGTTTACTCTGTTTTATCTTTTATTTTTAATATAATTAACTTATTACATAATTTTTTGTTTTCCCTTTCCATCCCACTAGAACATGGGCTCCAAGATCAGAAATTTTTGTCTGTTTTGTACCTTGCTATATCCCCAGCACCTAGAACAATATCTTGTACAGATATTTGTTGATTAAATGAAGGAATGAGTGAAAAATTGTTTATCTATTCTTCTTTTCATCCCTCCGTCCAAACACCTCTATTAATTGATGACTGTTAGGCAGAATTCTAGTTGCTGGAATCTTCTTAATGAATTTTGAAACCTCAGAACCTCACACAATGATATCCATTCTGGCCGTTAAAAATGTGTCCCTATGAAACAATTAATCTTGTAAGTTAATAAAGGGCAGGTAGCTATTTTTTAAAGATGAAATATCAAACTTTAGACTATAAACATTTGTATTACTTCAAAAGTGTGTCCTTGAAATCAGTCTTGTGTTGGCACAAACAAAAAAGAAAAATAGAACACTTTAGATTTTTGTATATCATGAGATTTGCAGGCTCTTAGGCTAAATTAGCTCTGGTTGCCTAAAGGATGTCTTAGGTAACTGCATCTATCCCCAAGCATTACTGCATCTAATTCCTGATGCCATGCTTTGGGGGAAATATAAAGAAATCAGAGAAATGCAGACAGCCCCTATCACAATGATAAAATGCATGAGTACCCCAGACTGTGAGACAGAGCAATCGAATTAGAAACATACAGCCTGGAAAACCACAGATTCTTTGAGGGGGAGGTTTCTCCTCTGTAAATATTTAAGGAGAGCAACAAAGAGTTAGAGGCTATTATTCTAATTGTGTAATGGAATACTGTTTTAAAAGCACTCTAGCTTTATATATGTGAGAAGCTGCGTTAAGTAAGACTGTCTTTGTCTTTTCACTTCTGGGGAAAACTAGAATTGGAAGACAAAAAGAATTTCTCCAAGTCACTGTTTGGCCTAAGTGGATTCTTAACTGACGCTAGCAGGGAGCACGAAGGCCCCGGCATGGGGAGGATCTCTTTGCTGAGTAACTGGGATGGAGAGCGTCCTGCTTTTCTTGGAGACAGTGTAAGGAAATTAAGGAAATGGCAGGCTATGCATGGTGTCATTGTGGGGGACATGGGCACAATAAAAAACATTCAAGTTTTTGAGAAACCACAGTAAACATGGGACTTTATTCTCTTTAGATCGGAAACAGTCTCAAAAATGTACGCACTGAGATCCACTGTCTGTTCCATAACCATTGGCAGGGAAGCTTAAAGGAGCCATTACGTTGCTGTAGAGAGCCAAGGACTAAAAGTCACGAGACCTAGGTCTTTGCCCAGGTGGTATAATGACCTTGTTTTTCAAGCTATGGTAAGTTAACTTCTGTATAATTCACTTTTCTAAGCTACTAAACGGGGTGAGTGGTTACCCCAAATACCTTATAATGCTGATAATAGTGAACAGAGTCTCTTTAAAATGAGAAAGTACATGGGAGAATCAATTTTTTTTTCCCCAGAATGAAGCATCATTCAAATGCCTATTTAATCAGAGTAGATGTCTGCAGCTACCCAGGAGAAATAGACACTTCTCTAAAATCCATCAGATCCTGAAGTTCAAATCTCCCAAGAGGCATTCCCCAAAATGACCAATTCATTCTTTAGAAGCAGTAATACTTTCCAGCAGGGGCTGATCTTAAACATGACCATGCATCATGCTGAGTTTAGACAATATGGATAAAGAAAGATTGAGTCTAGGCATGCAGCCAGGTCAAAAGTAGGTGTATATGAGAGAGTAGTAGGAAGGCAAGAGAGGTGGAATATACAGGGATGACTGACAAGTCAGTGGGGAGTCAGGAATTTGAGGACGAGAAACGATGGAAGGATCAGAGGGCATGAGGGACAGGATATAAAAACTGAAGAGTTTTGGGGAGCTGAAACATTTTGCCAACACCTGCGCTATCACGCTAGAGGATGATCTTGATAATGGAACGATGGTTGCTTAGACTTTTCAGGAAAGCTTTATAGGTACCACTTTTCTTTGGGCAGAACTCAGATGTGTTTGATCCCAGCTTTGTTCCTCTCACCCTCCTTCTTCTATCCAATCTGTGGAGAGGATCTTTCCAAAGGAAGAAATGGCCCCTATTTTCTCAGACGTGCTCAGTGTGGCCACAGTCAGAGAAAGACAGAGTGAACCTCTTCACTTACAGTAGGACTTCCTCAAATATTCCAGATTAAAGTCCCTAACAAACGGTTGTTTTGGCTCCGTTACATCAATGCCCATATTTGGCTAGTAAGGAAAGAGTTGTTTCAATGTGCCTCAACTTTATTATTTTCTTTGGCTAACTTTCTCACAAATTGTCTAGTCCTAAAGCAAAATCATTTCTCCTTTCCAGGATCGTTCCAGGGAGAAGCTGTTCTGATTTAACGCTCTAAGATGTAGTATTTTGCCTTTTTCAAGCCACCCCATTTAAGAGTATGACACTTTCAGGTTGATACAGTACCAGAATAAAAATAAGGACACCACTTTGATTTTCCAGTTTTGATTTTTTTTTTTCTTAGCCATACCTATAACCGTAGCTATTGAATTATTATCCCCAGGGTACAACCACTTTTTTAGGCCAAGTCTAAATTTTTCATGCACTTTCTACCATATTCTAGTTTTTTCTGTATGTATTTTCCTCTTTCCTTTGCAATTTTTCATGAGAGAATCACACTTGGTTACTCTACAGGCATGCACTCGGTCAGCTGAGCTATCTGTAGAGGAAAGTCGAAGGAATGCAAGAGATATACAGCACCTATAAAATGCAGAAAAATCTAAAGGGTCAGATACCTCATCTACTAAGAACTCAAATATCTTGTACACTTATTTGTCAAGTATAACATGAAGAAGCAAGTAAAATAATAGGAATTACCAATTATTAAGCACAATATAAGTAATATTTTTGATCATGTACAAGGTATTAATGTTCTATCTATCTATGTATCTATCTACCTATGTATCTATCTATCTGTCTATCTCTTTATTACTTCATCCCTGAGCTTAAACATCACCTTGGGAGGGAGCAATTTACTATTAGTCCTATTTTACAGATGAAGTGTTGAGACAAACTGCTATTATGTAGCATTCCAATTCCAATTCTAGGAACAAGCTATACCTAGTGTATCATACATTACTATGCAGATTTTAATATATGTTTGTAAAATTTCAATTCATTGTATTTATTTAATGCTAGTTTTCATTATATCCACAGCTAACTATCTTGGGTTTTCTTATATATAAAATACCAGATGAGTTTAACAATGAGTCCTGTGAAAGAACAAAATAGACCTGTCCATGTTTTCAGAAAACAAAAACATATTCTGTCAAAAATTGTAGCCCTATGCTAGCCTCAGAAAGTGCCTATTCTCAAGCAACAAAGTTGACGCCAAATCCCTTTGATATCTGCGTAACTGTGTTTCCTAAACATCTCTGACCCTCTTACGTAAAATTATTCTTTAGCTCATGATTCAGTGATTCTTTATTATCCTGATACATAGGTATTCAAAATCACTCACCATAAAAGGAGGAAACAAAAACATCCCTCTTTAGAATTATTTAGTCATTTTACTCCTTTTAACAGTTTCCACATGCAATATCTTGTTTAAGCTTAAAGAGCAACTGTCGGAATAGAAACTATTTCAGTATTTTCACCTTTTTGGGTTTGTTGTTGTTCAAGTTAAAGGATAAAAGCACAGGTGTAATTGCCGTCGGTGGCAGATACTCTCGTTGCTTATCAATATTCTTTCCTTCCTTAATATTAAAAGACTAATTTTTAGCTAGGCCC